CGAACCAGTACTGGAGTCGGCTAGGGGTCTCCTTCCAAGACAAGAGTCAGCAAGTCATTCCCCCAGAGCTGACTACCACCCAAATCGGTCTGACAGGAGGGACCGAAAGAGGGAGCCACTGCCTAAACTAGTCCTCACGGCCCTTAACATCTCTCTCACTGATGGACTCTATATGGTTCAATGCAAGGAATATCTCAATTCTATCCCTCCTCAAATAAAATCAGATCCCCGCAATCGAGACATTCGGCAATACTGCCAGTACCACAGAGATCATGGTCATCTCACCAATGATTATTGAATCCTTTAAAGGGATATTGAGGACCTAATACAAAGAGGTTATCTCAAGAAGCTAGTCTCCCCGAGAGATAGGAGGGAAGCCGCCCCAACAGGAACCGATAGGAGGTCTCGTTCCTGGTCACCTCATCCTCAACTGCCGCCTAATAGTTGACCCGCTGAGCCTAGCCACAAGGGGGTCATCAACACTATTAGTGATGGTCCCATAGCTGGACAATCATCTAACAAAGCTCGGAAGAGATATGCCAAGCGAGCGTTGTGGGTGGATATTTGCAATAAGAAGCCAAGAGCAAAAGAGCCCATTTCCTTCAGCGATACAAACTTGAAGGATGTTGAGGTGCCTCATTGTGATCCTATTGTCATTACGGCTAGGATTGATGACTTCCAAGTCAAGAGGATCATGGTCGACATAGGAAGCTCAGTCGACGTCCTGTATATAGACACATTCAACTAGATGGGCATTGACAAGTCTTAATTGCGACCTTGTTCAGGTCCGTTTATCGGTTTTATGTGGCATGCACTCCAACCAGAGGGGATGATCACACTCCCCCTAACGGTCGGCGAGTACCCTTGACAGTCCACCATTCAGGTCCAATTTGTGGCGATGGATATCAAGTCGGTCTATAATAGCATATTGGGCAGAACTACCCTCTATCTCTTGTGATCCTTACCCTCCACATATCATCATATGATGAAATTTTCAACCCCGAAAGGACTCGACATAGATAGAAGCAACTAACGAGAGGCCAGATCCTGCTATCTACTCTCAATAAAGGGAAAGGGAGTGCAAGAGACCATGCCCATTGAAAAAACTTACTTCCAGATGAAGAAAAAATTGGAGCGAGAGAGAAAAACTCCTGCTGAGAAACTTTAGGAGATTCTGATTGACGGGGGAGGCCTCAAAAAGGTCAAGATTGGATCCGGCCTCGTTGAACCTCAATGAGGAGATATAATTATGTTCCTATTAGCAAACACTGATGTATTCGGTTAGGGACCAGAAGATATGCTAGAGATTCCTCCTGAGATGATGAGCCATAAGCTCGCAGTCAATCGACACACTAAGTCAGTTCAACAGAAGAAGCAACATCTTGGCCCCGAGAGGCAGAGGACGACACCGATGAAGTTGACCAACTCCTAAGAGCTAGATTCATTCGAGAGGTGCAATACCCAGAATGACTATCTAATGTAGTGCTAGTGAAGAATGCTCTTAACAAGTAGAGGATGTGTGTATACTTCTCTGATCTCAACAAGGCATGTCCAAAGGATAGCTACCCTCTCCCCTCGGATTGATTAGTTAGTTGACGGAAGCGCGTGACATAAACTACTCAGCTTTATAGACACATTCTCCGGCTACATTCAGATCCGTATGGTAGAGCATGACCTAGAGAAGACCTTATTTATTATAGACAAAGAGACCTATATTGCTATAAGGTGATGTCTTTCATTCTCAAAACTGCAGGCGCTACTTACCAGTGGCTCGTCAATAATATCTTCAAGCCCCAGATTGGCTGGAGCGTGAAAGCCTATGTAGACAACATCCTGGTGAAGTCGAAGCGGGCGTCAACCCACATAGCGGACATTGA